ATATTTCTAAAACTGTGAAAAATGACACAAAATCCCTCATTCCTATACTACTCATATGATCGTATCAAGTATAACAACTTCTCAGACGGCAGCAGAACTGTTCTTGCAAAAATGGCATTTGAAAAACAGATGATGATTTTCTTGTCTTTTTTTCAAATTATTTTTGAGCATTCTGTCGGTGTGTATGAATTTCTATTTTTCATAAAACTTTTGTCATTAAAATCCTAGGAGGTTTTTAAAATAAGCCTATTTACAAGTTCATGTGTGCATGACACCTCAAAACAACAAATATGATACCTAATAGGCTGCGGAATGCCTCAATCTTTGAGATGAGCTGCTAGTATTTTGGAACACGAGGAACTTCCTCATCGTACAACAGACACATTATCCTTCAATCTATCTCATCATTGGCATACCAGTCTTACAGATAGTTTCAAGAGAAATTTCAGATTCGTTTTGGAATTGAAAACATTCTTTTACCTCATTGCTTTGCCGCTAACAAAAACCATATCATGCCAGCCATCTCCTTAATCTCCTCATGATATATCTGGTTTATATTCGATATATTGATGTTACTCATGTTCAGAACCATTTTAATCTGGAAAGGTAAAGAATCAAAAAACGCTCATAGCTATACATGATTCGCGAACAAACAGTTGTTCTACTGCTAATTTGCATTCTTTTAAGGAACCAAGGTTTATTCTATTCACCCCTCGTTCTAAAATTAGTTTCATTTACAGCTGTTCCGCTAAAGTCTCCCGATGAGATCAGACTTTTCATTAACAGAATATTTGATGTGAACAAAAATCAACATGTAAATCAAACTTTCGCAGGTTAGCCACAATATAATTTCTCACACTCTCTTGCTTAAGTTCATAAGGAGAACAACTCCATCATTCTCGACGCTGTTGATATTCCAGACACGGGAGATGCAAAAAGTGAGTTGTTAGCTAAAAAGTAGACCATCAAATGAAATCTTGAAATAAAAGTACAACCGGTCACGTGAGGTGCGAATTCGAAAATAAGTTCTCTTTTGCAATTATTCTAATTTGCACGCGTCTCTTTGACGTGAGCGCCATTACATACTTGAACTAGATATAACCAGAAAATCTGAGATTTTTTTTGTGACTACCTAATTCAGTCGTATTATTGAGTAAATATTGCAGCTGTGACGAAACGAGACGATGCTGATAACAAGGACATCACGGAAATAAAAGATA